TGCTCCGGTCCCCCTGCAGCCCCCTCCTCCCCGCTGGCTGGTTCCCTGGGGCAGGTGCTGTTCCAAGGCAAGGGGTCCCAGACAGCCCCAGATTTGGCAGAGGAAGGAGAGCATGTCCAGAGAAATGAATCACTTCGTTTTCCTTCTAGGTTAGATAGTGTATTTTTTTTAATAGCATTTACCACTTCTGCCCAAGCTCAGTGCACCAGCACCTTGTTCATGCAAGGTGCAAGAAGGGCAGGGCCCAGGGTCCCAATCCCCGTGCCTCTGTGAGGTGCCCGTCTCCTCACAGGGGGTGCAGAGTAGGTTCATAGAGCAGGGACTTCCCAGCGGGATCCCATGGGGCTGCCACTGTGCCCAGTTCTGCTCCTGTGCCAGGACCCCTGCCCTACCACATGGCCCGCAGAAAGGGCAATGATGGGAAAAGGACTCTTCTTCCTGATCTGTCTGTGCCTCAAACCCTTTCCTTCCCAATCCAGCCCACAGACTTTTCCCAGCCCCTGCTCTGCAGTGCTGAGAGGCAAATGCTGGTTCTGGACCCTGGCTTCCTGGGCACTGCCTGGGGCCCTTGGATCGTGTGGGCTCGATGATGCTGCAGGTGTCACAGCCCCACAGACAACGGGGAAGCTCTTCTGCAGCTCCGCTAAAGGCTCTTCCAACGCGGAACCCTGCAGGGAGGAAGCCTGAGCTGGCAGATGCTTTTCCAGGCACTCCGGGGTAGAGCAAACACTGTGCGCCGAGCTGGGGATCCTGCAGGATGAGAGAGGTAGGTCGGGGATTGGCAGGGACTGAAGGGCTCCATTCTGCCCCTTTTCCCCCTTCCTGGTGTGGTGGGTACTGCATGAAGACCCTCCCAGCGCCGCGGGAGGACCGTGGCCGTGGTGCTGGCAGGATGCTCACGGGTGCCCCGTCCCCTCCAGGGCAGCCCGGCAGGGATCCCTGCCCGCGGGCGCTGCAGGAAGGGGCTGGGTGTGAGCGGTGCCACGGCGGGCTCTGCCGCCCCGGCCCCCCGCGCGGGGCGGCGCTTCCGCTCCCCGCCCCCACGGGTGCAGAGGAAACCTGTGGTGGTGACGGGACCTCGCATCTGCAAACCTCTCCCCTCAGCTTCCCCCCACTGATTGCATCAGCGAGCTCTCTTGCACAGGGGTGGAGAGGGGGGGACCTGGTATTTTGTCTCTGCTTCATGGCAACTAGATGTGTTTTGCCAAATCTGTGCATCACAGTGAGGGAAAAAGTGAACCACGGAGCTGGAAGCAGCTTCCCCTGATCCCTGCTTTTGGGCAGTGATGGGGCAGAGATGACTGTGCTGCAAGGGGGGGAGGGCTGTCTTCCCCCTTCAGGAGGTTTATGACTGTAGCGTCCCCACCACTCTTGGGGTTTTGCACCTCTCCCTCCCATAGGGCAGGGACTGCAGGTGCTTGTGCTGGCACAGGCAGATGGATGAAGGTTGTGGCCCTCAGCTTCATCACCTGGGGAAAGGTCCCTCCTCCTTTCCCCCACCCCCTTCACCGCAGCTCCGGATGCCTGGCGGTGCTGGGGGTTGTCCCTCTCCTGTGTGACCTTGGCTGCGGGAGCAGGGACAAGGGGACCGAGTGGCGCGGGGTGACCTCCTTTCTCTCCAGGGCATGGTCGATATGGCAGAGCCCACGTTATCGGCAGTGGTGTTGGATGGAGAACGCGCGGAGGTCGGGGTGACCTTGCACGGCTCTCCTGGTGAAACGCTGCAGCAAGTGGCTCTCCGGGGAGCTCAGAGATGTCCTCAGGTGCTGGGGAAGTGACTGTGTCCTCCAGCCCCGCATGGCCAGGGGAGCACAGCGAGGCTGGATGCAGCGTCAGCCCCCTGCCCCGGGAGCCCCGCCAGCAGCGCCACAAAAGCTGCCGGGATTTCTGCGGAGCCGGTGCCGGCTCGCATGAGAATGAGGTGCTGGAAGCGCGCGCGGATGCGACTGCCTCTGCAGTGCGCTCGGCAGCCGCCCGCAGCAGCCGGACGGGGAAGCTGCGGGGAGGAGGGCGGCTGGTGGCATCCCCCCTGCAGCGGGATGGGACCGCATCGGGTGCCCCCATGCAGGGACATCAGCCCCGTCCCGTGCTGGTACCCAGCCCCATACTCACCCTGCAGCCCCTGCCATGGAGTTTCCCCGGGGGAATCCTAGCTTTGTCCTTGCAGGATTTTGGAGCCAGGAGCCACAGGCTGGGCGACGGTGTCCTTGGGCAGCGGGCTGACCATGGCTCACGGGAAAGTGCCAGTGCTGGAAAGGGGTAAGCGTGTATGAAGGCAGCGTAAAAGAACAAAAGAGAGAGAGAGAGAGAGAGAACACATCCGTGGGCTGGTGCCAGGAGGGATGAGCCCTCCAGGCTCCCTTTTTTTCACCTGGCTCTCCCATGCGCTCCCTGCCCCAATATCTGCCCCATTCAGTCCCATTGAGGCCAGCAGCAGAGGAGGGCAGTTGAGGGCTGGCGTTTCGGGGCTGGGAATGCAGCCATTCCTGACAGGAATGGCCCCTCTTTGCCCGTACAACGTGGCCACATGCCCTGAGTGTCTCTGAGCACAGCCTGTCACCTGCAGGAGGGTGATGCTGAGCTGCGTGCTCAGCCCTGGCCGCTGTGACCTCGCAGTTTTCTAGCTGCTAGATACCCAGCTGGTGCTGAGTGCTCCTTTCCCCTTAGCTTTTTTTATCCTGCCTGGACCCCTGTGAATGGTCTCACAATGTAAAGCAAAGCCCAGTGCTCTGCACAGTCCAGTGAGGAGTGGTGGCTCCCGGCAGCCCCACGGAGGTGAGTACTGCGGTAGCCAGATGTGCAAACAGCTGCTGCTCTCTGTGCTGGGACAGGGATTGCCTGGCGTTTCCACATGAACCAGCAGACGAAGGCATGAAATGGAGAAAGCAGGAGCTAGAGCAGATCGCTCTGAGCGCAGTCGAGCTCTTATCTGATAGCAAGTAGAAACCACAGCGGTGATGCTGTGTGGGATGGGGAAGTGAGTGCTGGATTTATAAAGGTCAAGAAAAAACTGTGCTTGCGTTTCTTCCCATCGCATGTGTGTGTGCTGGCACAGAGCCAGCTGATGCCTGTCCCCTCCCTCCATGCCATACTCCCTAGGAGCGAGCCTGGATGGGAAACTGAGTTATTTCTCCTGCCAGAAGTATTCCTCCAAGTTTCCCATCATAGAAACGCTAAGGTTGGAAGGGACCTCTGGAGATCATCTAGTCCAACCCCCCTGCACACGCAGGGTCACCAAGAGCACGTGGCACAGGGTGGCATCCAAGCGGGTTTTGAAGATCTCCAGAGAAGGAGACTCCACAGCCTCTCTGCGCAGCCTATTCCAGGGCTCTGTCACACTCACTGGTAAGAATTTTTTCCTTAAGTTCCTGTGGAACTTCTGGTGCTTCAGTTTGTGGCCATTTCCTCTAGTCCTGTCGCTGGCCACCCCACAGGAAGAGGCTGGCCCCATCCTCCTCACTCACTCTGTTGAGGTATTTATATACACTGCTCAGGCCCCCTCTCAGCCTGTTTTTCTTCAGGCTGAACAGGCCCAGCTCCCTCAGCCTCTCCTCATAGGGCAGATGTTCCAGGCCCCTGATCATCCTTGTAGCCCTGCGCTGGACTCTGTCCAGCAGCTCCACATCCCTCTCATACTGTGGAGCCCAGAACTGGACACAATACTCCAGATGTGGCCTCACCAGGGCTGAGTAGAGGGGCAGGATCACCTCCCTGGACCTGCTGGAGGTGCTCCTCTCAATGCGCCCCACGATCCCATTGGCCTTCTTGACCAGGAGGCAGCAGGGTGCCCTTGTGGCCAACTCACACAATCAACCAAAGGGCCTGGCTCGGCCCCGCAGCTCTCCTGGCCCTGTGCGAGTTCTGGTGCAGCAGGATCCATCCTCTGCCCTCTCTTCTGACCAGGACTTCCAGTGCTGCTCCAGGGACTGACTGCTGCTGTGAAATACAGCTTGTCAAGAAACAAAATCTAGGGACAGAGTAGGTCTCCTTCCGCCAGCATCTGCTCTCTGCACAATTTATCTCCATGTTGCTTGACTCCATGTTTCCTTTTGACAACTGGCGAAGCAGCGGGATGGGGCCAGCAGCCCTTGACACAGGCGCAGTCCCAGAGGACAGTTGCTCCTCTTGCAGTTGCTTCACCCCGTCACCTCCAGCACTGCTTCCAAATGGTCCCGCTGAGCCCCATCCCACCTGCAGCTGCTGCTCCGCTGGCAGCTCTGCCCTTGGCCTGGGGAAGAGAAATCCCTCTTTCTTCCCCTTTTCCTCCTGCTCTGGTCATTAATTGGCACTTTCCAGAGGTATCAGTGACTTATTACTTCTTTCCTCTCTTTCGGTTGCCAGAGGGAAGTCCCGAGAACCTGTCCCCAGCTCTCCCAGCTGTGTGTAGGGTCCCTGTACCTGAGCTCTCCCAAGCAGCCACCTCATCCAGAAGATGTGCTTTAGTGTGAGGAACCAGCACAGCTCCACAGCTCCTTCCCTGACTCGGTATGTTTGCAGAAGTATCTGTGTCATGCCAGACACGTGCTGTCTCTAGGTATTTTTATACACCTGCAACTATGTTCGCCAAGTGTTGTATTTTCGCACGCTTAATTATTTTCCTGGAAACTGTAAAGGAAGTCCCCGGATCTTGCAGCCTTAGAGCTGTTTGCATTCGCCCATCCCTGCACTTGCCTCCTGGGGCAGGGTGTGCCCCTACATAGGCTACCTCTCCCTTGGAATGAAGTCACCCCTGAGCACCCAGGGGAAGCACCCAGGGTGCACGCTGAGCCTTTTGGATGGCTCTGCTGTCTGGTCTGCCCCTCTGTTCTCTCCTTTCCTTGGCTTGAGACTTGGCGGAGCAGGGGGAGGCAAGGGTGTATGCTGCAGGAGAGCATGAGCTTGGGTGTTTCTGTTGGCACACTTGGAGCAAAAGGACAACTTATCTACAGGATGGAAAGTTTCTGCGCTGTTTATCAGGCATTGAGAAAGGTTAGATTAGAGGCTCAGGAGCAGCAGTAGTTTGCACCACAGCAGAGCAGCTGGATCCGCTCTCCCCAGGCTCCGGCAGGAGGGTGCCTTTGGGCCAGGCGGTGGGAGCACTGGCCCGGCTCTGTGGGGATGTGGGTACCCCTGCCTGGGTATCCCAGCCCATGGGCTGCAGCAGAGTCCCACCCCCGTGATGCTGAAGGAACTTTTGGCTCTAACTTGCATAGCTATTTGTATTTCTAAAAACATTGGCCAGCCTGATTTTGGTTATTCTTGCTCCTTCCTAGTGACAGGGATGGAGCTTGCTGTTGGCTGGCCTCACAGCTGAATGTGGGGGCTCCAAACTGAGAATGTGTGTCCTAGCCAAGACAGGAACCCCCTGGACTGCTCAGGGTGACCACAGGCATGTTAACTCTCTGCACACTGGAGATAACACGATGTCTCCCCTGCTGTGCCGGGAAAAGTGACCTTTTCTGGGTCCCCACAGCTCTGATGTGTGCTCAATCTTTGCTGGCCACCACCATCAGAGAGCAGAACATGGCCAGTGTTGAAGAGCAGCGAAGACTGGTGGCTGCATCCACACTTCATATAGCAGAATCTGAAGGCAAAGCTGTCCCCAACACACAGCAAAGCCAGGGACATTTGTCCTTCCCTGAGGTGGTTGCGATGGCCTGGGTCAGTTGGGTAGCCTGGACAGTGCTCCCTGTGCAGAGGGATGCACGGAGGGTGACAAATTGCTGGGTGCTTGTAAAGAGCAAGAGCTGCTTGGCGAAGGACTTCCTGTTGGGAAAGCTCGTTGCTTAACAGTAAAAATAGAAAAGTGCAGATATAAAGGAAAGTCCAGACGGTGCTGACTTCCCAACTTTGCCTCCTTCTCTGGGGATGGACTTGCCACCAAACCCATGCCTATGAGAAAGCTCTTACCTCTCGGGTGCTCTGTCAGCCAGCAAGATCCCTGTCCCGTTCCTCATCTCCAGCCTCAGAGGCTTTCCCTCCTGCCCGCCATGGCCCTGCGGAGATCTCCTGGGCTGGGCCTTCCGCGGGGGGGCGCGGGGGGAGGCGTGGAGTGCAGGAGGTGCTTGTAGGCCATGCGGAAATCCCTGTTGAGAGTGCCGTAAAGGATGGGGTTCAGGGCTGAGTTGGCATAGCCCAGCCAGAGGACGATGGACATGGGTGCACCTCTCACGCTGCTGTCCCCCCACACGCCCCGGTAAGTGAACACTGTGAAATAGGGGAACCAGCACACAACAAAGGCTCCCAAAACAACTGCGAGGGTCACTGTGGCTTTGTGCTCTTTCACGATGGGCGGCATGGGGGTGTTGCCGCTGCAGGACCACGTGTGGTTTATCCTCTTGGCCTGCTCCCTCGCTATCTTGAATATTCGGTAGTAGGTGATGCACATGACGACCAACGGGATATAGAAGGTGAGCAAGGCATCCACAAGCCCGTACACGGGGTTCACCTCCAGTTTGCACTCCTTGCTGCAGTCGGACGCTGCGTTTTGCACTGCTGTCCCATTGGTGTTCCAGCCCAAGTGGATCGGTAGGAAGGAGACCATGAGTGAAACCGCCCAAATAATGACCAAGCCCACGGTCACCCGGGAGGGGGTGACCAGCTGGCTGTAGCGGAGAGGGGTGGTGACCGCAAAGTAGCGGTCCAGGCTGATCATGAAGAGGTTGAGGATGGAAGCTGTGCACAGCATGACATCCAGACTGATGTAGATGTTGCACAGAATGCTGCCAAAGGGCCACTTGTGGGTGAGTTCATAGAAGGCAGAGAAGGGCAGCACCAGGAGGCTCAGCAGCAGGTCCGTGATGGCCAAGGAGACGATGATGCAGTTCGTCAGGCTGCGGAGCCGGCGATCAAAGGTGACAGCCAGGCAGACAACAACGTTACCACAGAGGGTGAACACAATGAGGATGGCGAGGAAGGACCCAACCAGCACCTGCAGGTGGAAGTCCATGGGTTCTGGAAGGTTTGTGAGGTTGTAACAGGGATCCATAGTGCAGGGGCATGGATGGAGATGGCCTTGCTCTCCTCGCCTATTTGGAATAAGCTTCTCCTAGGCAACTTTGGAGCACTTTTCAAACCTACTCTGTGCCTACGATGACCATGGAGAACATTACAGAGTCACTTGACATGTGCAACCTTGT